CGTAATATCGGCCGACATTGTTGTACTGCTATGCGGAACAGATTCATTAAACAGTTAATCAGCAGCGATTCAAATAATTGCAAAATCGATTCTCGCTCATTGATAACTGTTGTCGTAAACACGGAACAACGCAAGATTTACGTTTCGTGTGTCCCCGTCGAAAATGCTGTGGAATGAATTTCAATTACATATACGGGGCAAACGATTCTATAAGTCGGTTCAATGTCTCTTATATGCGTCCAACAGGAGAACATTGGAGGGAAAATATAAGTGACTATAACAAATGGTATGGATGGGAATACATAGTTGTTATGTCAAACAGACCATGGCACCTCGAGGTGTGAGCCTATCCGGTTCAAAGAAATCCATTGTTAATAACATCTCGTCGATACGTGACGCCTTCCGTACGACCGCGGCGGCACTGTTCTTCACACGTACACTACTTTTGAACTGTTAGAGAGATAAAAATTATTCTTTGATTACTCACAACTGTATTGTCAATGGCGAGCTGACGAAAGCACCTAACTTCACAAGCAGAAATGAATCAACACACGACAGTTCGTGCGCACTTAGAGCGTTTTGATACTGGACGGCGCGTGTGTACCGTTCCGTGCCGCTCTTCAAACATTAGCTTTGAAATACAAAGTTTTTCAATACTAGAACAAGAGGAGAGCAAACAGGGAGCGACAGTTCCAAGTAGCCGACAGCCGCTTGATGGGAGCCGATGGGAATCCGTCGGCGACGCGTCGCTGGTTACAGGTAGCCGTTATATAAGCTTCCATACATCTACATTGGAACAAAGAAAAGGATTAATGAAATCGATGCGGTCGGTTGCAGTTTATTTAATGCGCGACGTTTAAATCGAGATAAAAAAATAGGGAGACAGCGGGAACGACAAAATCCTTCAAAAACAAAATCAGCCGGCTCATCATTTAAGGACAGGACAGACGAATCGTATCAATACGCTGATGGAACGTTTAGGGTCCTATAAAATACGAAGTCATTGTCTTTTTTGCGCGTTCGGTTTGCGCGCGCGACGCGGGCGCGGAATACCAACAAGGTGCGCCGGCGCGGTGGAATGCGGCGCGGCCGCGCGGTGCCGCGCGTCGTCGCCCGCCGCCGCCCGTCGCCGCCTGCTACATACGCATCGCTCACGTCCCCATCGATACAATTAAAACGCTTCTCGGACAATACCCGGCACACACTTTCCAAAACTAAACTGACGCATAGAAAAAACCCGCTGCGACTACCCACTTTCGACCCTAAATCGATCAGAATACAGTAAATATTACGACTGCTGCCGGTGACGACGCCCATCGCTAATACTAATTTTATTCGAGTTACGGACATGGATTCGCGAAGATACGAATCACGTTCCGATTGTATTCGAGATGTTTTCTGACTGATTTCTTTATCAATTTCGCCATTTCAAACTTTAATGACAACTTAAAATTTTATGTCATTGAATGAAATCTATACAGCGATGGGAAGCGGCATTCTACGATGCGTTTCAGCAACAGAACGAGGTGACTAATTGGCAATTTTCATAAGAATGCGCGACAATCAGACAAATGGCAGTTGGCTGTTTTTATTGCGGAATTAAAAGGTTCTGCGAGCTTAAGACGTGAATGAAAAAAATTCAGCAGTGTGACTTTAATTGTACTGGTGACATTGTGGCGCCGCGGTCACTGCAGGCCAGGTAATTACTAGCCGCAGTCAGGAGGAGCTAGCACCGGGCGCGCCGCCTCACCGCCCATTCATTGATCGGTTTAATAAGAAAAAATATTTGAAAGACTAGTTTGCACTGAATCAATTACTTACCTAGGTAAGCATATTTGGAAAATATAGAGCTGATCTAGTCACTTAATAAATAAATAATTCACATGGTTTACAAACAATCATACGTTCAAATTCTACTATATATTATATTCAGAGTTATGATTAAACTAACTATTACCCGTGACTTGGACCGCGTGACCGGATATGTTTACTGACAGAGATAAAAAGTAGTTTATATCTTTTTCCATCCAATACAGTGCGTGTACGTGTAACAAGCAAACTCTATATCACATTCATAATATAATATATTTTAGTAGGATAGGATAGTCCTATAAGGATCCTACTAAAATAAAAAAAAAAGCTAGAAAAGCAAAGACTAAAAAAGACAAAGAAATTCTCAAAAAATAAAATTTAAAATAAAGACAAAAGTCAGATAGATCAATATTTGGAGATGAAACATTATAGCAACTAACAGTCATTTATATGTACAATAATTACGTGAATTAAACACAATTGAAACATTTTATACCATAATTATAATATTTGAAATAATCGTGATGACATAATAATAAGACGATACCTACAATATGCAACAACAATATGGAAACGCCAGTCACTATGTAAATAAGATAATAATGCTGCCTATATGGAGGCACAGAGTGACGGTGCGTCTCGCGACTTGCCCGCTGATATGCCGCGCCGTCGCTCGCCGCGCGCTCTGCCGACAACTAAGAGCGCAGTGCTTCGAAAACTTATCATATTCTAAAATACTAGAGCCTACATTGAATGGAGCATAACCTTAAAATATATCGCACCTTCCTGCAAGCAAGTTTGGCATTTACAAAAATATAAAAATTGTATCAAGACTTAGTAATAGAATAAATATTAAAGTCTCTAGATACGATATATCTGAAGCTAGGACTCTACGGGAGGCTTATTACAAACTTACATAACAGGTCACGTAACTACAAATTGGCCGGTTCTGTCTGTACTTTTGTGGCCAATTTGCACGGTAGCCCAAATTAATCTACAAAGCTATGTAGTCTCGGGACACCTGTGGGCTTATTATGAGCTTTTAAAGTTCTCAAATAAACCCACAGATATCCCAATCCACGACACACTATAAGAATAAGATCTGTACGATGTTATAGTAAGGCGGTTGAGGCATAAAAAATCACAAAATACCAAAGTGCGTCATGCAGTGATCTGTTATTTTTTAACAACTTAGAATGGCAAACAAGCTGACAGCCCACCTGATGGAAAGTGGTAACGGTCGCCTATAGACATGTGCAGTACCATGGACATAACAGAGTATATTGTTGCACCCATGATAGTCTCCTGCGTTGCTATTCCTGAGGACTCAGGTGTTATTCCTCTGTACCCTGTAATTTCACTGCTGTATCCCAACCAAAGCACAGCTATGCAAACACAACTGCTTACGGTTGAAACACAAATGGGATAGACGTACCCAAGCAAACGACTTTTGTACAAAGTCTCTCTCTGGTGTCTGGGGTCTATATCTATCCTATTTAAAGATAAAATAAACATATTTATTTATTTATTTATTCATAGGAAAACCAAGGCTACACTACAGCAAATAGATACAGTTTTAGGATCACAAAATAAGCCACTAATAGGTTTTCACAAATAGCAACAATATAGATACAAGGCGCTTTACACAAAGCAACAAAAATACGAGTTAACAAAAAAAAAGTGAACAAACAAGAGAGAACATATAAAAACAAATAATGATAATAATAAATTATAAAAACAAACAATAATAATGATAAGTAAAATACAAATTAAAGATTAAATGTAAATATTTGACCAAAATATGGCCTTTTTATCCATACAATACTAATTAAAACAGACTATGAATAAAAAAATTGCTTACTCAGTTAATTAATTAACTCTACATCTTCCTAGACACAGACTTCACTTTCCAGGCAACCTGTAAACGATGATAAAAGAAAGCAACAGAGTGGTGCAAATAATATGTAAAGACTTGTTGCTTATAATTCTGACCAGAGGCAATGATGGATGCGCAGTGCCATCGCTTACAGTATGAGTGTGAGTCTCCCTCATATCCATTTCGAACTGGCAATATAGATTGTGGTACAAATTGACACTCACTGGATGCAATGACGACCTAACAATAAATCTATGGATAATATAGGCACTTCAAAGCTATTTTTAATCTCTTTTGAAGGATGAGAAAATGTTTAGAGATAATTCTAAGTCCTCATTGTAATGCATGCACACTAATTTGGATGAGTGTGATCTGTTTTTCCCAGACTAGTAATTTTAACATATATTCAATTTCATCATGGATCGTTTATTGGGTCCAGTTAGGTTTGCTGTTACATCCAGTTCTTACACCTATTTTGTATTGTATAGAATATCATTATCATAATCATCATATTATCCTTAACGTGTGTCGTCATAGAAACTCAATTTTTTTTATTTGGCTCTAAATTCTATTTTGTTTATGGTTATATTTCAATCCTAACCGCTCCTTCGACTTCCGAAAGATGAAGAGGAATAGTGATCGTATGCTTAGTTTATATTTTTTTTGCAACACAGGGGGCAAACGAGCATGCGGCTCACCTGCTGGTAAGTGACTGCCGCTACCCATGATCACCCACAACACCAACGGCATTGCAGGTGCGCTGCCGGTCTTTAAAAAAGGAATATACTCTTTTCTTGAAGGTTAAGTTGTCGTATTGGTTCGCTACTATACTGCTGGTCGTCGCTAGATATATCGACGCCATGAACCCCTAGATTCGACTTGTTATCGAGAGAAGTGCCCTAAAAGTGAGGACATACGACAAACGGCGTCTTTTTTGCAGTGGACGCGCATAATTCGAGGATACATACTCGTATAGTATATATAAAATTATTTTTTTAAATGTATTCTCTATGTTTATTCACAGTATATGAGGAGTTCCTATGCAAAACTTCATGCTTCTCGATCCACCATTTTTGGCTCGCCTCGATAATTAGTCAGTCAGTCCGTTTCTCCTATTATATAAACACCTATAAACAGACAGAGTGCAAATAAATATTCGGCGACAGGTAGGAAAGTTTGAGAAGCGCGTCTGTAGCGACAAGAAGTGCACGTCCTCATTAAGCATTCAGAGCTCGTCTATACAATATTTATGTCAGTCAGCCGTGTTTTTAGAGCTGCGCCGTTGCCTAGTAGGTACCAGTACAAGCGCGTCACTATACTTCACCGGCGTACGAGTATGTAAGTACATCGCCGTGTCCGTGCTACAGTGCTGCTCCACTGTACCGGGTATTGTGCAAGTAGCTGTTGAACTCTCTGCTACTTTTGGAGAATTATGTTAAACATTTGCACGAAAACACGTTCGGACTTTCAATGAAATGCGTAAATTGTGTTCGCAGTCTTAATTTAATGTTGGTATGTAACGATATAAATAACAGTCGCTTGTCGCAATTGGTATTTATTGCGACCAATACAATACCGCTGTTTTTATACTCGTACCCACTAAGGTTTTATTTTATTAACTGATCAAATCGAACTAATCAAAATTTTCTCTCCTGATATTTTTTTTATTGTTTTTTCTATGAATGTTTCTCTCAGTGACATCTTGAATAGTCCGTCCGTCGGATTAGTGCACGGCTTCTGTTCGTACTTCCCTCCGCACACTTAGTAGTTGACCATTATTCACAATTCTAAACTTTCTATTTATAATAATATAAAATGAAAATTATATCAGTCATAATATCGTCATAGTCGTAGAATACTGATGGATCTGACAAAGATTACATATAAAGATCCGTCAGTATTCTGCGACTATGACGATATATTGCAGCTATCTATTAGATATATATTCAAGGATATTAAAATTTTAGGGAACAGCATTACAAATATATTTACTTCTTATATTATAGCGTCTTAATTTAGGTTTTTTTTATGCAACTTAGAATGACAAACAAGCTGACGGCCCTCCTGATGGAAAATGGTAACAGTCGTCTATACAAGAGCAGTACCATGGACATAACAGAGTATACTGTTTTGCCCATGATACCCCCCATGCGTTGCCATTCCTGAGGACTCAGGTGTTCTTCCTCTGTACCCTGTAAATTCACTGCCATATCCCATCCTTCAAACCGAAACATAGCCATGCAAAAACAACTGCATTACGGTTAAAACACGAATGGGACAAAGGTACCCAAGCAAACGACTTTTGTACAAAGTCTCCCTCTGGTAAAATTTGGGTATATACCGAATCTATATGATACAAAATAAGAAAAGAATACCCATAAGAAAAAGTCAATACGCTATGTTATTGTAGAGCTTAAGTATAACATGTTTTTTTCCTTAAGATATTTGACATAAAATATACATATGCACCAATAAACAATATGATTATCGTATATGTATTTAAATATTACAATACGAGTACTATAATATTACATTAGGAGACTGTTAATATGAATACTACATAGATACCCTGCGAATATGTACATTGTTTGTCGACATTGTATTTTGATTGTTTCAGCCTTGGGACATAATGTGTTTAATACAATCCATTGACAATGGGCAATAGTCTTATTCAAGATAAAAGGTGCTAAATGCAGCGACCAATATAGACATTTGCATGACTGATCGTGAGTTTAATTCATAACACGAAACATATGTATATTATACAACTGTATTTTACCAGCCAACCGCCACTACACGCCACTCGTATGGTGGATTTAGACTATTTTTTTATAAAACTTACAATGGCAAACAAGCTGACGGTCCACCTGATGTTTGTCCTCTCCTACTTTTTAAATTCTTTCATTGCTCGACTGCATTAACAGACAATTTTGAAAATTGTTTCCGCGTTGATACTTGAGTCCAAATCTAACTGCTATTAGAAGCAATTATTTTTAAGTAACTTTATTAGTTTTAGATAAAACATTGTTTTGACACTGTAGGTAAAAATAAAAAATAAAACTGTCTAATGTGGATGAAATGCAGATTTTTATTTAAAATAATTACAACAACTGCTTCTGTAATTTTAGATCTTTCTTATAGATCAGAGATTTCTGTCTTCATAGTTTCTGTTAGTATTTTCCCGATTAAATTCTTTTTTTTTTTTATTTCAACCTTCAGCACGTTTAATCCTTATTACAGATATCTATTGTTCACTGCTGAACGTAAACCTTCCCCATACATTATCACAAGTAACGGTCCTGAACCACCTACCTAATGTAACGTTTAATTTAAGCAAAATTTAGATTTTGCAGAAGAATTAAAACGAAAATTCGCTAGCTAAATCTAAGTCTACCTTACCTTATGTGTTATTAGTTGTTATAGCAATTTGCAAACGATATGCAACAGTGCATTTCAGGCCGTCAATAAATTAACAATTCTCAATAACGTTCAATTACGGATGCGCATGCTGTGTAGCGTCGAATCAATCAGCATTGGTAGCAGACGCGGCCAGCATGCGCCCGCGCAAGCGTATCGATTATGAATTTATGATCGACAACCGCGCTCGTTTTACTAAATGTTTGTGTTCGTGTTGAACACGTAATATTAATATTGACCGCGTGTTTGTCCATGTGTAGATATGTTATATTAGGCAATTTAACTATTTACTACAAAACTTACCTATGATTATTGCGACGTTTTAGAAGATTGTATCAAAAATTGCAAACTGAATATGTTTGTCAGTGTGGATCAGCATCATAATTTCTGCGGTTTTAATCCAAAAATATTAAGTATCAAAAGAAATGTACTGTCAAATATTATGTATTCTTATAAAGACTATGTAGATAATACGCTAATAAGGAAAAAATATTTTTAAACACTAGAATGGACGGTCGTTGACTTCATTGGATAGATTTTTCAAAATTCGCATTTAATGTCAAACTCATGGTTATTTTGTGTCACTGTGTGTATAAACTACCTAGGTAGCTGCTCACAAACACGCCTGTGTTTGTAGAAGATGTAACAACCAACAACTGTCTTTACAGTTACTTGGGGTCAATGTCACCGTGTACCTACTGCTCACGAACTTGCAGTAATTGCAGAGAATGAGTGAAATAAATCGATGTTGTTTATATCCTGCGATCTACATTCGTCGAGGCAGTGCATGCGAGATCATTGTGAGATAATTATGTCTCACGTCATACCAATTTCACCCATTCACGCTTACATTAATTGAAGATCATCACTATTACTATCTACTGTACACTATTATGATCAGATACTGCTTAGTAATTTGTATTCGCACAAATTCATTATTTACTTCATTAAACTTTTTGTAAAAATCAACAGCTGAGTTCCTCGGCCGTTCTTCTTGGCTGAAATTGCGTTCCGAATGAGCGGCAATGAAAAAAAATACTATTCAATAATGCTTAAATTTAAGTTAACTTTAATAAAAATATTTCTTTCATTCATCTTTCACATTCATGTCTTTATATACTCGTTAGTATATCTAGATAGATATAAATCAAATTTAGTACTTAGATCACTATATGTTAGATTAACACAAAGGATAATTTTTTTCTAATTCACGTGAGCATTGCCACGGGATAAGTCTCTATAAACAGCGTATAGATGGACGATAACAATCTAAACAATGGATTATTCAAAAAAAAATAAGCGAATCATATTCAAATGACAACTTTTCCTACACAAATATACATTTTAGTACGTAAGTATTAATTAATCGATCAATCAATCATTTATGTGCATAAACATAACTGTTATGAGTTTAATATTGTAGAATATGTAATACTAGCGACCCGCTCCGGCTTCGCACGGGTGCAATGCTGATACTAAATACACCTAGATAGACATATATCATCGCGGAATTTTTTGTTGACCTATTTACTAATAAGTATTCATTCAAATACTAAGTTAGTTCACTCTGATGATTTTTTGTGTGGCTAAATATTATTATATAAATATCAAATGTTATTGTGGCAAGCTATAGATAGCTACTGTCATAATTGTATTCCTTATATATTGTTAATTAATTACAACTGTACGCTTCTAAATTATATAAATAAATAAATTTTACGTTAAATTCAAATTTACTGGTCTTTCAACTTTCCGCCAAGCCCTTTTCAGATTACAAGGCTTTGCATATTAGCTATTACCTGCTTTGAAAAGTTGTAAAATCAAAAGCTATACTTAATAAATATTTATTGGTATATATCTAGTTTCTACAGAATATATATTCAACATACCTGACTATACCAAAGAAACAAAAACATATTTTTTTATAAAATAAAATAACGTAGTAACGATTTTGTTGATGTTTAGTGCCATTTTCGTATTTCAAAGTCTTCTTGTAAAAGTAGTTTACAATTAAATGATGCTTTATTTCGAATTAGGTATATGCCTTCACTTACACCTTGTTGTTTAAATATTCAAAAAATGTTTTCGACTTCACTTTAGTATCTACCGAGTAAGCCGGGCTATAAAATAGGATAACATTTAAGCAGTGATTATTTTAAATAAAATATTTCATGAACTGTATTACCGTAACTATGACATGTATTTAAAAAAAAAAACATTGAAAACATCAATCTCTTTTGTTATGTCTATTTTCAAATATTTTTCCGTCGGCTATCGATGGAAGGTCAGTACGGCATGTTGACTTGAGTATAGGTACATTACCGACTTACTAGGTTTAATATATTTATTATTTCACCCTTTAACTGTCCACTGCTGGACATAATAAGCCTTTCCCCAATAAGGAAAGTTATGCCAATAGTTGTCACGCTTGGCAGGCAGGTTGACAATCACAGTTAGGCTTTTAGAGATGTTTTAAGCGAGACATTACTGCCTATTCCTGGACCATAAGTGGCCTATTCTATGCCGGAACACACATGGACTTATTTTTTTTTAATGGGAGATAATAGAATAGTAACCCCACCCGCGCTATCGGCATACACCAGCGGGGCACTAGTGAAGGATGATAGGTGAGGATGAAGTAGGTCAGTAAGCCCATCGTGACGAATTCAACAAGAATTGTTCACGAGGGTTTCCGTGGAGGTCGACCTAATAGGGCGTACCTTACAATGGGGTACCATTGTTACCATATTGCTAACAATGAGGCTGTTAAACTCCATTGCTAACAATCCTTTTCCCCATACACGAAATTATTAGGCTATGTATATCTATATGACTATAAGAAATTAAGTTTTTTATACTTGATATGATTTTTTTTATACAACTAACAAAGGCAAACAAGCTAACGGCCCACTTGATGGAAAGTTGTAACCGTCGCCTATAGACATGAGTAGTACCATGGACATACATACATACAGAGTATACTGTTTCGCCCATGATACCATCCATGCGTTGCCATTCCTGAGGACTCAGGTTTTAGATTATTCCTCTATACCCAGTAAATTCACTGCCATTTCCTATCCTTCAAAATGAAACACAGCCATGCAAACACAACTGCTTTACGGTTAAAACACAAAAGGGACAGAGGTACACAAGCAAACGACTTTTGTACAAAATCTCCCTCTGGTCTGATTTTCCGTATTCTCTCAAACATTGCAATTCCCGTTCTAAGGTTTCTTTAAATGAATTAAATTGGAACGGTAAATACACTTATTCTATTTATTTGATTCACGCTGGCCCCCGACAGTGGTACTCAGAGATCATCACTCACTGGCACCCCTACCAGTGAGTAATGATCTCGAATGATGACGATGATGAAAAGATGAGATTATTTATGAATCCACCAAAAAAATACGGTGTATTATTTCACCAATAACACGATGTTTTCCAGAAGGAGCCCCGTAGAAGTCGACTGCACCTCATTTATCCTTCAAACTAAAATATACTTATAACATAAAATTGGAATGACGTGAAAATGATACGACATCATAAAAAAATAAATCAAAATATTTCAAACAGAACTCGCCACGGTTATTGTCAAATTAGTTAAAATGGTACTTTTGCAAGTGAATTAAGGTTTCTTCAGGGTCGGCAAGGTACATTTGACACCCCTGATGTTGCAGGCGTCCATAGGTTACAGTAACCGCTTGCCATCAGACGGGCTGTATGCTTGTTGTCACCTTCGTAGTATAAAAAAAATCAAGGCACAGTGTCAGTAATTCGTGTGATAGATAGTAGACACCTGCAGTAATTAGTATCGAAGCTGCCACCTTCAGTACAGAAGACAAAGCCACACGGTCACGCGTGTGTGCAAACGCACGCGCATACCACCAACGCACACATGCACCACTGTGACATCACTCAGCTTGCGATGTACTCACCTACCCATACACAAGTACGCACCAGGTCAAATATAGACATGCCAGAATAACTAGAACTGCCTCGGCCCCGAAACTCCTACGTGGCATCAGCCGACGAGAGGTCAGGGCACGCAGCTCGTGGCTCTAATTACGCTGGCCACTGCACAATGAGCGAACTGAAGTACTGGCCGTGCAAGTGAGTGCCATTGTTTTTCACGTGGCACGTTTTTTCGCCGCATTTCGGTGGCAAACGGGGGCCAATGGCGAGCGCGCCGGGCCGCCATTGGCGGAGCACGCGTGGGCGGGACGCCGCGCGCTCGCGAAATCTTCGCGCCTTTTCTCTGCACTCAGCAGCGTTTGTTTTAGTACAGCAAACTATTAAAAATAACAAATATACCCCTGTATCAATAGGCTGCACATGTGGATCTTCGAGTTCTAAATTTGAATTGTTCTAATTTTAAAACGATCATTCTCAGTCGCTGGCACAAAATCGACATCTTTGGTAATTCTTTAGTGCAGTTTACTAGGCTTATTAATAAAATAGATTAATAATTAAGTCTTCATTAATTGTATAATTAATAATTTAGTATACATTAACACTTATCTGTAAAAGCTGTATAATTGCTCTAATTAATATGTTCGTCTAGCCTTAAGCTCAGAAAGAAAGAAAGAAATGTTATTGTTCAAGTAAACTTAGATTTAAGCATTTTTGAATAGTCATTTTTCATTACTTACTTACTTATAACATTGTACATAGTCTGTTTAATTATTGTAAACATATTGTTGGTGTATATTTTATAAATAAATAAATAAATAAATAAACAAAATCAATAAGTATTTATTTTTTGTTATTTTTCTCATACACATTTTGAAATCAGACAAAACTGAAAAAATTAGGCTCCGTTCTAAAATCCAAGTATTTACTCAAAATGATAATTATAATTGTGTTGCACAAAAAAAAAACTTTAATCGTGACAAAACCAGATATTATATTTTGATTTAAAACCTAAACTACAGAACTGTTTTTAATAAAGTCTCTATCGGATGCTAAATAGATCCTTTTAAAAAAAATCCAAGTTTACAAGTAATGGAGTCATGAGATAACAAACATAAAAACAAACAACCGAAACCGAACCTCCTTCTTTTAAGTCGGTTGAAAAAAATTGTGTTAGTAGATACTGATGTGTATGTATGTAGGTGTGTCAGCCAAAATATGAATGCTTCTCTTCAATAATTTATTTGTAATTTTAACTCAGTAACTTATAACTCAGTACTTTATAACTTGAACACGTTAAATTAAACCGGTATGGTTATAGTAAGTAAGTGTCTACTTAGGTGCACTTAATTAAATACAACTACTTACTTATAATGAACTTCATTAAATAACTTATGAAAATATCTTTAAAACAATGTCTCGTATATCTTATCACTTTAATTACTCAGCGAGCTGTGGAGAGAGCTATGCTTGGAGTCTCTCTGCGTGACAGAATCCGAAACGAAAATATCTGCTAAAGAACAAAAGTAATCGATTTAGCCCGAAGAACAATCAAGCTGAAGTGGCAATGAGCTGGTCACATAGCTCGAAGAATCGACAACCGATGGGGGAGAAAGATTCTTGAGTGGCGACCACGTTCGGGCAAGCGCAGTGTGGGACAACCCCCAACTAGATGAAATGACAACCTGAAATGCATTGCAAGGAATCAGTGGATGCAGGTGGCTCAAGAGCATTCTTTATGGCAGTCTATAGAGAGACTTATGTCCAACAGTGGACGGATAATGGCTGAAATGATGCGGATAATAATAATGACATCTTATAACTTCGATATTTATGTACATTTTAAACAATAGGATTTTAACGATTGTCTACTGATTTCTGCTGATACAGTTGTCAAACTGCAACTTCGTTGAGAGTGCCTTTAATATCATTGCAAGAGCGTCATGACCGCTCATGTACTAACATAGGTTAAGTCAATTTATAACTAACAAAATGGGCCCTATGTAGTTTGATTAAATAAATATTATTATTATTATTAATATGTCCTTCTAATACACATATTATTACATGTCTATTCTAATCACTGTATTCATATCAGGACTTCAAACTATCGACCTGACATTTTTTATTAAAATCCGTAATAAAAATAATCCGTACCTGACAACGCCTGCTCATGACATTATAAAAAATGTAATACCTTTATACGGTGCTGATTTAATGGCGACTCAGTCGACGCGTGTTCACCATGACGGCATGGGCACACCAGGAATCATGACGAGCGGAAATGATCCAAGAGGCACATAAACGGCACAATGTCACGATAAGGATTAGTTCACACAGGGCGGCCCCCGCTGCACGCCGCACACCGCACACCGCGCCGCGCGTCGCGTCGTGACGGAGGCGTCGGCGGCCGTGCACGAAACCACAATAAATATCGCTGTTCCCAGCGACAGGACCACCACGTGCCAACAGCGGCCGGAACACTCGTACCTACGTACCTTCCCATTTTTTTATACAACTTAGAATAGCAAACAAGCTGACGGCCCACCTGATGAAAAGTGGTAACCGTCGCCTATAGATTTAAGCAGTACCATGGACATAACAGAGTATACTGTTTCGCCAATGATACCCCCCATGCGTTGCCATTCCTGAGAACTCATACCTACATACCCACCTGCCGAGCAAACCCGGTTGCCTTGTGTTATTTGTTAACGGACTGATTGCAACTTTACACGTTTTTTTTATACTACTATGGTAGCAAACA